TTATTCATCCTTCCCTGCTAATAATGTTTATGAATAATTTTCGTATCTTTTGATAAAAATATTTAGATTTTAATCCGATTCTTTTCTTCAAGAAATTAACAAGAATGAAAAAAAAAAAAAATAAACAAACAAAAGTTTTTAACCAAGCAAATTAAATGAATACATAATTTAATCAATTAATCAATTAAATTTCTTAACTTAATGGATGTATTAATTTAATTTAATTACACTTATAATAATATTCTCGTATTTTTAATATCCTTCCAGTGTTAATTTGGTTTAAGCATTAAATTAATGACTTTTATTTGAATTTAATTAAATTAAGGAGTGAATAAATAAATATATGGTTTCACCATTCAGATTACAAACATCTCAACAGAAACATGTTTGTTAAAGGTGCTTAAGGAAAGATTTTTCCAATAAGTATCGCATAGAAATACTGGTAGATACCTTCGAGAAAGTAAACAAAGTTTAAAGACACAGGAAACAAAGAAAGTTGTGTTAAAAAGCTTTTGTTGGAAAAAATCATCGAGTGCTGAACGGCTATGTAATATCTAATTTCCTATATGGAAGTAACTGCATGACAATCTCTTCACAGTCGAAAAAGAGATTTGAAGCGACTGGGATATGGTTCTACTGGCGAATGCAAATTATATGGAGAGAATATATGAGCGGTGGGAAATAGAAACTACAAGGAAAATTAATTGCAGTTAGAAAGAGACAGCTGAAGTTCCTGACGAAAGACGGCCTAGCGAATTTAATACTCACATGACATTGAAAGTAAAAGGGGTACTGGAATTTACTGACATCTTGGGAATGGATGGCAGAACAAGAACAAAGTGTGAGGTTAAGAGTTCAAAAATAGGAAGTTGTGGCACACGTCCTGAAGGCGAGATAGCATATAAAAGAAAGAATATGCTCAGAATCAATCAGTCAGTTATGTGCCTAATGGCTCGGAAAGCCCACGTTAAAAAGGCCTTGTGCTACATGACAGCCTCGTGGGGGGGTGACTGAATATCGTCAGTTATGTGCTATGCGTGATACACGCTGACAAGGCAGATTTTTCCCGCAGTAGTTGGCTATTTCTTTCTGCGGTAGACCAGTTGCAATCCAAGGCTATAGGAACCGGTCTGTCCTGCTATTTACCCATAGCTGGGTGTTGGCGATAGAAAAGAGGATTCATACCTTTCCCAAGGGTATTAGCACGTAAGTGAATGTAATGGATTCGACTGTAATTCGAACTCGGCTCTCCGGTTTCTCAATCCGTGCAGCTATCCATACTCCACCGTGCCTCCCCTCAAAATCAGATTGCCTTATTGGTGAAGGTTATATTTACTTATACAGACGGTGCTGCTTAGGCGAGTCACCGGTTATTTGAATTAAATTTGAAATGGCAAAACAAAATATATTAATGTCCAAAATTTGATGCATTGAACGATATTATCGTGATTCTAGATTGCCTGAATAATAACGGTATATGTAAGTACATATTTGTGCAGTTGTTAAATGTACGAACACATATTGCAATTAATCTTATTTTTATCATGACCCTCATGTGCGTGCCTACGGGATACTCTATCAGTTAAAAGAGTAATAATGATGGAGAAGCAACGCTAAAACACATAGAGCTTATTGGATTGATTTTATCAACCATATAAATTACCGAAGACATTTTGAAAGGTTTACATAAAAGATGTGCCCATCCACAACGTTTTAATGATGTCAATGGGTGGGGAGAAATGGGCGGGTTTATGGGATGTGACACATGGGTGAATCTGTTGAGTGCTAAAGATAGGCGGTTCTATGGAATACTGAAGATGGGCGTATCAAAATTGGCGGGTTTCTGGAGTGCAAAAATAGCCTGGTATATGGAGTTCTAAAGATTAGAATGAATGCTAAATTTGTGCGGTTCTATTAGATGCTGAAAATAGGCGGGTATATAGGATGGTAAAGATGGGCGGATCTATGGAATGTTAAAGATGCGTAGTCTATTGGATGCTAATGATGGGAAACTATGAAAATTGGTGGATACAAAAATTGTTGGTTCTATGGGATGCTGATTATAGAACCGTACATCTTTAACATCACGTAGACTCACATATTTTCGCCACCCCATAGGACCGCCACAATCAGGATGCTGGAAATGGGCGGGTATATGGGATGGTAAAGATGGGCGGTCTTATGGGATGCTGATTACAGGGGTTCTATGGGATGCTGAAAACGGGGCGGTAAAGATGGAAGCGTTTTTGAAATACTAAAGATGGGTGGCCGAATTGATGCTAATGATAGACGGCTCTGAGAGATACTGAAAAATGGATAGGTCTATGTGATGCTAAAGATGGACGGTTTTATGCGATGTTGATTATAGTCGGTCCTATGGAATGCTGAAAATTTATGAAATGTTGTTTGAGTTTTTAAAAAGGAATAATATTGCAGAAACAAGGGTAAACGTTTTGATGCTTAAGAGATTGGTTTTATGTTATATAGAAATAAAGTGCCGCTGCTGACACTGGGGTTTGAACACAGATCACCAGAGAGCAAACACGGGTGATCCCATTTTGAATAATTAGAACACTATATGGTAAAGGGAATGTATATATGAGAATTAGCGTGGCGTCTAAGTGATCACTCACCGAATTACTTGGGAGGCGTGATTGTCGAACTCTCTGCCTCTGGGCAGAGAGGAACCCAGACGAGGCTATGCCAAAGGGCAGAGTCTCGTCTGGCTGTGGTAGACAGCTACCCAACCCCATTTTTTTACGGGGTCTACGGGGAATTTTTGCCCGAGCCTACGGGCTCGGATACCCCACAATAAACTCGGCTTTGTGCCACATCCGACCGCGTGGGGCGGTTAGTGAATATCATCATTGTCCGAATTACTTCGGAGATGGGCTTGTCGAACTCTCAGAAAGGAACCCAGACGAGGCTATGCCGAAGGCAGAGTTTCATTTGGGGATGGTAGACAGCTACCCGTCCCGTTTTTACGAGGTCTACGGGGAATTTTTGACCGAGCCCTTAGGTTTGATTGTAGATACACCGCAATAAACTTGGCCTTGTGCCACATCTGGCCTCATGGGGCGATTAGTGAACATCTCACTATACAGATTACTATTCGGATCAATATTCAGTGGTTACTATTCGAGCGAGTATTATCGAGCAAGCACTATTAATGCGTGTGCTATTCGAAGGCGTCTGACACCAGTATTGTTCAACGGCGTTTCTATAGCTGTATCTGCGATTACAAAGTCTCTACTGGAACGAACATTACGAAAATGACAACGAGTATTCGTTGACATTACAAAATTTTATAAGCCAAAGAAATTGCCGAAGTTATTTTAAAAGGCTTAGTTAAAGCGGCTTCAGCTTAAAAGAAGAAGTAACTTTATTGTATTTAACAATGACCAGCTTTTGTGTGAACCTGATAGAAATATTGCTGTTTTGATTGTAGTATGTCATTGAAACATTATCAGTAATTTGGCAAAAAGCCTAAACTTGTAAAATACGTTTCCCATAATTTCACGGAATTTAATTTAACAGTAAAACAAATCTAATAATGAAAAAAATGGATATTTTACAAGAATATAATGTTAATGATTTACTGAAGGTGAACAGGTGTACGTACAAATAAATCCACTTGTAATTATTCATGTTAAACACCTTTTTGCAGATTTTTAAGCTTAGAGATTACTGGACACGAGAATGCGAACTAAGCATTATATTTTTACCTACCACGTCAATAAATTGGCGTCGATTTGACTGATAGTATGTTATGTATATGTTCCAAAATAACTAATGTGAAACAAAGACTTTTATTAACTAACCAAACACAGCATTTGTTGTAATTATTCATATAAAGCACATTTTCAGCTGCTTTCAGTGCTTGTCCGTGTCAAGTACAGACGCCATGTCAATTTCATCAGTTAGGACTCACCATGTCGCGTTCACGGTGACAAACCATAACCATTCTTTTTATGTTCCTTTGAGGAAAAGAAGCAAGTTCCTCTCAGACAAATTCTTGTCCGGAAGGTTTATTTTATGGAACAAATTCCCGAGAGAATGCTTTCCTGCAAACTACAATCTTGGTCGCTTTAAGTCAATTGTCAAACGATATCGATCCTACTCGTATTAATTATATTCTCTTACTTCCTCCTCCCCTACAAATCTCACTCAATAAACCTCTAGCTTCAGTGCTTCTTGGGCCTTGTTCGTTTGTTTAGCACCATATCAACACCTTATGGGTCATTTAATGCCGAAATTTAATTTTCTTGGGAGCATTAGTAATTTCATTTACAAGAAAAATGTATTGCTGGTAATTTTATTTTGCATTGGTGGTGATTTTTCTATTGCTGTTAATTTTTTTTTCAAATATGTACTGCTGGTGTTTATTTTTCAGAAATGTATTGTTGGTAATATGTTCTTTTTTCAAAATGTATTGATGGTAATATTTATTTATTATTTTTTTATAAAAATATATTGCTGGAAATTTTTTTTTAGTATGATAATGTATTTCTGGTATTTTTATTACAAAATATATTTTTATAGTAGACTTTTGACTTCTGTTGATGGGTTAACTATTTGCCTATAGTTGGGTCCCTGACAGGTCCTACCACCCCGAGTCAGGATGGACTTGGGAATAACAACAATTAGGAGGTCGTTCCACGCTCCTTAAAAGCTCTCGATTAGTGCCATTGCTGCCGGATGTAGTTTATCGTCATACCCAGGATCCCCCTTGGGATTTGTATTTGGGGAACTATCAAACTAATAATGTTTTTATCTATGGAATCATATTTATAGGAAGTAGAAGAAATACAATAAAAGATGTCAAAACTGAAAAAAAAAAAAAAATAAATTGAAAAAATTAAACGTCCTTGATTTTTCAGGGTCTCATGATCCAAAATTGTATCCGGGGTTTTAGTATTACTTCTCCCACCCAATGTATAGATAAAATTCTATCGATAAAGCAGTTTCGATCGACGAAACATTTACGAGCTTTTTTTTTA